GGGAGGGAGCTGGAACCGGTTCTAAACGGTACTGTAGATTTGTGGAACCTCTTCTATAGAAGAGGTTAGAACTGGTAGGAACTCAACCCTGGACCGGAGGTGGTATTCAGCCAGTTCTGACAGGTTCTGGAAAACTGGTAGTGGAAACTTTGAGTAGTTCGGAGAACTGGCAAATAGGCTGGCCCCGCCCCGGCTGCCTCACAGCTGATCTTCTTCTGTTGCCCTGAACAGGAGAAGGGAGCTGGGAAGCAGGTTAGTGGGGTGGGGAGGGAATGGGGATTTTGCAGTATCCTTCCCCTGCCATGCCCACAAAGCCACACCCACAGAACCGGCAGTAAAACCTTTTGAATCCCAGCACTGCCCTGCACATGTATTTAGCAAGGGAGGAAGAAGCGTTTATGGGTGATACGAATAATTGAGGGGTCTAAAACCCCAACTGAGCCCCAGGATTTCTACTGTGGGGGGGGGAGAGTCATCTCTAGTTCATGTCATCCTTTTTTTGGTGGCATCTCTTAACAGGAGTAGAGAACCTGAAAACTACCCGATGACACCGTTCCAGCTGGGAAATGAGCCCCATAATTTGCAGGTTGACATTAGCCATATTCTGGACCTGGGTGGATTAGCATTTCAGTTCCTTGCCTATATTTAAGTTCCTTGGTTGAGTCATTTTTAAAGCCTTAATTTGTGGTCAAAATCATCTTCTAGGTTGGTCTCCTCTCTGGTTTTGAGTATCTGAGGCAGTGCTTCCTGACCTCGGCCCTTAGATGATGGGTGAATTCCAACGTCAACCACACCTCTTCGAGTGGCCAAAAACTGGGAGAGACTTCTAAGGAAATGCTAGAATCTTGGCACAAATCCCTACAATCATTAATGAAGATGGCAATAGCAGTGGTTAGAGTGCAGTACTGCCGGCCACTTCAGCTGAACTGCTATCTGCAGTTCAGCAGTTCAAATCTCACCGGCTCAAGGTTGACTTAGCCTTCCATCCTTCCGAGGTGGGTGAAA